TAGGACGGGGATTTGGGAGTCTAGCCAGTGCTGTGTGGACAAGATCAATAAATGTCACAGGGGTCTGTGATTATTTGCCCTGTGCCCCAGTCAATGGAAGATTCTCGTTGGCTTCAGATCAGAACCTCACTGTTGGCTCGAGCTTAAGGGGCCTCGCTTAAGGAGCTCTGGTCCATTGCCTCCCAGCTGAGCACCAATCAAGCCATAAAGGGAAAGAACAAAGCAGGGGAAGGTCCCCTTCACCATGGATCAGACAAACAGGGAACCATCCGATTCCAGGTTACTATCTACCCGGATCCATAGATTGTGGCCTACCAAGCCACAATTCACAAGCAAAACAATAGAAGAAATAAATTTTCATGCTTCAGGGCATGAGCCAACCTCTAAATAATAGAGGGTCAGGAAGAATCTTCCCCGGGGGGCAGGTTGTCCCATCAGTGCAGGGGCTCTTGTACCTTCCTCTGAAGCAGCTGGTACTGGGCACTGTTAGAGACAGGACTAGATGGATTTGCGATCCCTAGGGCTGGGCTCACTCAGCGGGAAGGAACATTGGCCTGGAATCCTGCAGAAGGAACTGAAGTTTCCCCAGGGCCCATGGGACTCAGCCTCCCCATTCTTCCCCTGCCAGAGAACCATGGGGACTGACGCTCCCCAGTGTGACACGGCCACCCTGGAAACAGCACTGGGCATAAATCATGACTTCCTCTAATGCACTTACCCACCTCTGGGTCCCCAGTGCCTGGGGTCACCCCAGGCCTTTCGCAAGGGGAGAGGATCATGGGAGAAAGGATAGATGCAGAGACTGTCTGCAGAGAGACTACCAGGTGGGTAAGAGGCCAGGGCCGATGGCAGCCGTGTCCCTTACCCCCTTGGGTCACCTGGGTCACTTGTTTCCTTTCCTCTGAAACACCCTCCAGCTGATTAGTGTCACTCTGACCCAGAGTCCCTGGCCCCAAGCATCAGTTCCCAGGGGCTGGATCCCTGGCCTGGGATAGGAGGCTATGGGTCTAGGAGCCGAGTGCGTGGTCCCGGGGGGAGAAGGAGAGACAAAGACATGCAAGGAGAGGGGGAAAGTGGGAGTCAAGAGACACCGATGAAGAGAGGGAGACGGAGAAGGGGAGAAGGACGTGCAAATGGAGAGGGAACTGCAGACACTTAAATCTCCATCTCCCAGTCATCGGAGGCCTGGTTATCGGGAAGCCCTTAATAACGTCTGCAAATAACAGCGGCATCCCGGCGCCGACGGCGAGGGGAGAGAGGCAGGGCTGCGCCGGTGCTTCGGAGGCTCAACTCAGGTCTGTGGGAACCCGGCTCCGCCTGCTCTGGAAAACGGAGCAAACCCTGCAAAGTGTGTGGGAAGCTGCTGGAGGCTGGGAGCAGCAATTCCCAGGGCGCCTCCCTGCTGAAGGAGCGTTCTGCCTGCCAGGCTCCAGGAGTTAACTCCTCTGTGCCGGGGCCCCTCCTAGGAAAGCTGCAGCTGGGACCAGCTCCCTAGAGCAGGCGACGGGATGGGTGTCAGTCTGCAGAGCTGTCAGTTGCAGAGTATCCTTTGGGTTGACTCTGTGACCTTCGCCCCATCCCAGCTGGGTCAGTTTTTGCTAGGCTAATTGCCAGGTGGAGCGGCCACCCCCGCACCTGAGCGGGCAGGGCCTTCGGTGGCTTTCCTGGGCTCCGCCCACTAATCCCAGTCATCCAACTAGCTGGCGTCTTTCCAAGCACTGAATTCTCCCAGGGCGATGTTGCATGCCAGGGGATGGAGTTCACATCCTCATTAGAGCAAACTGGAAAGGGTTTCAAACGCAAGGAAACGCCTTCCGATGGCGCGTTGGCACCGTTGGGAACGAAATGGTCTGTTTCCGCTTGAACCAAGTGGGAACATTTTGGGATTTTCCCACACTTTCCCTCTTTTGACCTTGGGGAAAGGAAAAATGAAAAACCCCAGGCCCCTCCGCGAGTAGCAAAAACTGGAAAATTCCAAACTGTACCAACATGTTGCACATCGTCCCCAAAGGCAGTTTTCATCTAAAAAACTTTCGCCCTGTCCTGGTGAATGATGTATGTGCATGTGACAGGCTCTGGGCGAATTTGACCTCCGGTAAGGCCATCTCGATAGGTGGTCAGGAATTTGTGGACCTAAGGGTTTTTCGTTCCCATCCCCCAGAACAGCACACAGGTTGTGGCATTCAGGTGGGAACGGGGGAGACCCTGGTGTGAGCCCTGGCTCCCAAACTATTTGGGCTGCGAATCTCTCCCTTTGGAGCTGTTCCTCTTTGTATAAATAATTACATAGTCATTGGGGCAGAGAGCAACTGATTCCATAGCCCAGGGGTTCCGGCAGGAGACCAGCGGGAGTCCCAGGTTCAAGTCCCTGCCGTGAACCTGGCTATTCTGGGATGGGTCTCTCTCTCCTGTCCAGATCTAGTTATTACATGACAACCATAGCGCAAGCCTTGACAGCATGCAGAGGCTATGCATCGAGTGAAGCTCCATTGACTTTACTGGAGCTAATCCTAATTTGCTATTTAAATTAGAGGAAAATCAGGCCCAGGCTAAATAAGACTCCAGGACCCAGGAGGAGAGTACCAGCCAGGGACAGTGTGGCGAGAGCCAAAGAGAAGGGAGGGCTGGACGCAGGAGAGCTAGAGGGCTCGCGATGGTCCAAGTCCGGAGCCTGTGGAAGGCAGGAGCGGGCAGCCGAGGGTGCTCGGTGGATGAGGACCAGGGACCGTTCAATAGCTGGGTGATAGAAGGTGCAGGAGGCACCCGGAGCAGGATGGGAGGCACAATGACGACCGCACAGGCCCACTCACGGTCTGTTACCTTGTCAGTGAGGACGTCTTCACAGCGGCTGGGAGCGCGGAAGACAAATCCGCGCTCGCTCTGCTCAGCCTAGCACCGTGAAAATAGTGTGGCTCCAGCGGCCCGGGCTGTGGTGTGGGCTGCCCGCCCCAGTACACACCGCATGACCCCCTGGGCACGTACTTAGACAACTAGCCTGTGACACCATGGCCAGGTTGCTAGCACGGCTCTGTCTCCCTGTGCCGGGAAACATGCTGTTGTTAGACATACCCTGTGTCCCACCACCATAAAACACAATGCGGCCGCATTCAGAACCGGACCAGCAATGACTTCAGCAGCAAAGGGGCACGCACAGGACATAGGGACGGGAGGCAGTGCCGGCTAATGCATAGGGACTTAGGGCATCAGATTTGTTCCAGTCTGTGCCACTGATCTCGGGCAAATCACTCCACTTCTCTGTGGTGGCATTTCTCCTCCCCTGGCATTTCCCCTCCATCCAGTTTAGACTGGAAGCTCTTCCGGGCAGGGGCTATCTTCCAGTCTGTGTGAACACAGCACATAGAGGGGCTAACCAGGCTGGAGCCTCTGGGTCCTACTACAACTAGGTCAGGCGTACGTGGCATTAGGTTCTGATCCTGTAGTCTATGGGTCTGTGTGCAGGACCAAGGGCTGAGACATGGGCCAGGTGGCTCCTTGGAGGGGATTTTTTTTTATTTTTTCCATGCGATGCCATAAATAACTTTATCTTGACCTTCCAAAAAACATTTTGTTCTCTTCCTTGCCATGAACATTCTTCTCGTCCGGCCCTGCCACCCGCTTCCCTTGTTGGGTCGCAGAGTCGTTTATCAAGCAGCCAGAATGTGTTGGTGGAGACTTTCAATAAATAAACCAGCCCCGGGAAAAGGCTCACATGCGTGGTGCAAGGGGGGAAGGCTTGGGGTTTATAGCCAATCACTGACCCGGAGCCTCCGAATCATTTATGGTGGGAACTCAGGAGCATTTCTAGACTGTATGTAGCTGGATTAGGAACAGAGTCGGTTCACTAGAGATGTCGTTTGAGTTAATTTGACTTCTACTTTTATTTAAAAAGAACCCAGGGTTGCTTCTGTGCTCACAGCTCCAATTTGACACCCCTGTCCCTCAGCTGATTTCCATGGAGGCACTTTAGATTTGCAGGGGTGTTAGGGGTGCAGGGGAGAGTTTGGGTCACTCTTAGGAGCGCAGGAAAATGCGGCCCTCCGAGGAGACCCCCCCGCCAAGAGAGATCCAAGCCCAGCTCTGGCTAAGAGGTTCACTTGGCCTCTTGCTCCAGTCCTGCGGCCCCAAGGGTAGGATTTGCTGGAGAATTGTTTCCTTCCCAGCTCCGGCTGCCAGAGCAGAGAAAGTGAGTCACCAGCTCTGCCTGAAGGCTCCAGAATGCACTGCTCGGGGGCAGGACTGGATCTCCCCGCTGCCAGCACAGAACACAAGACCACAGAGCCCCTCTCCCATCTGGGATCTAGCCAGACCCTCTCCTGCCAAGCCCGGGGAAAGCGTGCGAACTCCCCAGTGCTGGCAAGGGTGGTGGAGAGCTAGAATCCCCACCGGTTCCTCCTGTAGCCCTATCACTGAGCCCCCTGTTGATGGCCCTAGATGGCACTGATGCGAAGGGCAGAGTCCTGGCAGCCCGTGAAGCCCCTGCCACGTCCCTCAAGCTGACCTAGGCTCGAATGCCCCAGCTGAGAGGGTGAAGTCAATGGCAAAACAGGGTCAGGATTTCACCCCCTTAACTGCACATCCTTAAAGGCCTGTGTCCTAGCCTCCACAATGTGTCTGGTTTTGAGAAGCAGCATGGAACTGTGCCCAGGGCTGGAAGCCAGGACTGTTCTAAAATATCTGCCGTAGTTCAATCACAAGTCATGGGGCTCAACACAGGCAGCCCTGGGCGAGAGCCTCTGGCCTGGGCTATGTGGGAGATCAGAGTGGCTGATCATAATCATCCCTCCTCCTGGCCTTATGAATCTATGAATTTATCCCCACCTCTGCTGCTGACTCACTGGGGGACCTTGGGCAAGTCACACTGTCTCTTTGTGACTCAGTTTCCCCAGCTGCAGAATGGGGCTCATGATACCTAATTATGCCCCGTGCCCCCTTTCGCCATCATTGCTAAACAGTCAATGGTTGGAGAGTGCTAAGCATTATTATGGCAGTGCACACACTCGCTTATTACAAAATATCTTTTATTGTTAAAATATCTCAAGACTTTTCATCAACATCATTCCGCACACACAACAGTGGGAAAAAACACAACTCCTGCTGCTCACAGGGGATATGGTTATGGGGCACAGAGATTAACAGAAGCTCCAAACAGAGCCCGCTCCCATCATGACCCACCCCATGTTGCAATGCCACACGCAGCCAGAGGCAAAACACAGGAAGCCCAAGTGGCATGAGACATCCCACCTCCCCTGCAGGTGACAGGTTCGGAGACAGCAAACCTGCTCCTCGCTTCCACCGGATGTTATATGTTCTCCTCCACTCTCTTCCCTTTACGGGCTCAGGGGCAAAAATCCACCCCTGTTATTTTTCCTCTCTCCACAGACTGCTTGGAAAGGACGGGAAGCTGCATTTGGATGTGGAGTCCATAAGTGGTAACAAGATACTTTAAAATCAGCACTGACTAATCTTAATTTCAATAACCAATTGGAGCCAGAACGGTCCACACTGAAAGAGCACCAGACTGGGAGTCAGGAGTCCTGGGTTCTTTTCCCAGGGCACAGGACTGGGAGTCAGGACACCTGTGTTCTTTTCCCAGGGCACAGGACTGGGAGTCAGGACACTTGCATTCTTTTCTCACCTCTGACACCCACTTGATGTCTGAACCATAGGCAAGTTACTTCCGCCCCTGGGAATCAGCTTTGCCCCCTGAAAAATGAGGATCATTGTTACTTACTCAGGCTTGTAAAGTGCTTAGAGTTCTGCGGATTTAAAAAGTGTCAACTCTTACTGGTTCTGGATCCCACTTTTGCAGAGTTCCAGGCAGCTGACTTTGTACCCAGAGTTTGTATGGGTGACATAGAGATCCAGGAAAGGAGATCCCATCCTTGCTGTGAGAGGGTGGTATGATCTTATTAAACACAGGTGTAAGGGGGAAATAACACAAAGATCCCACAACGGCCAAGGAGTGAGAACCAGACAGATGTCTCCCGCTCACAGCTCCCGTTCTGATGTGCAAAATTAGGCTATTGTGTCATTTTTAAAAGAACGATTCAGGCTTAGAAACACTGTATCACGGCTACTAACACATCCTGGATTAACCACCTTCTCTTTCCCACTTGCATTCATACCATAGATGCTTTGATTTAATGCTTTTGTTCCTTGCAAACGGATACTATTTGCTTTGGAGAGCTTTGTTCCTTGCAAACAGATACTGTATGCGTTTGGGGAGGAGGGGACAAACATCGGAGAGACAAACTGCTGAAGGAGCTACAGATCCCAGAGGTAATGTCAGAAGCTATCAAGCAAAATAGAGTCCTAGAAGACTCGGCATCCTGCAGAATGGAGCAGATTCTGTTTGTTTCCAGGATCTGTGAGCGACTTTGACCACATGCTTTGTTCTGAATTCCACAGAAAAGTGACACAGACTCGGGTAGATTCAGAGAAGAGGGACATACATTGTATGGGCTAAGCAAAAAAAAAAGAAGAAAAAAAGAAAGAATTCTTCTTTTCGTAAGAAAAAAGGAACCAAAGGAAGGAAAATCCTCATGCCCAAACCCTCCTCTCAGTCCCAAGTGTGTCAATCCAAAAAAAACCCTTGTGTCCATACCATCTTGTCCCTCTCCAAGTCTCCCCCACCCCGCTAGCGGCTCCACCAGTGGGAGCCCTGGTGTAGACAAGGCCACCACTGGCCTTTTAACCCCATGCTCAGGGGAGGTCATGCTGACATGGTGTTAAAAGCACAGGCTGTCATGGGAGCCTTGTCCACACTAGGGCCCACACAGTGGGAACTGTCACCCAGAAATCCTAGGGCATGGGTTCTCAATCTGGGGGTCACAACCAACCCACCAAACCCATGCTGCTAAATGGGAGAGACATGTCTGAATTAGATCCCAGCTCCATCAGAGAAAGGTTCCATGGGAGGGTCCCAGTATGAACCCTGGCCCTGTGTTTTAGCAAGAATTACCCCAGTGAAGCCGAGAGCAGAATCTGGCCCAGGCAGACTGAAACCTTCACTGCATTAAACCTCCATAATCACATGAGCTCCATACAAGTATGTTTGCGACCCACCACTCAGCTGGCATAAAGGGGCGCAGTGCAGCTGTGACCAACATCAAATTTGGCCCTTGCCTTCCTGAGCAGAGAGAAAGTGTGGCCTGGGGCAGATTTCTTTTTGAGCCTCACCACACCAACAGAGACGGAAAGAAGGAAGAGAGACTGGCGGGAGACTCTCTTGTGGTTACCTGGAAGGCAGGTCACACACACTTTCCTCTGCAGAGTTGGTGGGAAGAGAGCTTTTCTCATCCCACCCATATGAATGTCATGCACATTAAAGGATCCCCAGCTCGGTAGAAAATACATTAGCAAATGGTCCTGGGTTTTAACTCATTTGCAGAAAATATATATAGAGAGAGATATAAAAAGGCTGATCCAAAACAGTCTTTAAAATGCACTTTTGTATCCACCGCCCATCCCCACTCTTTGCAAACACAAAAGCCGATGAATAAATAGACGTGTTTTAAATAGCGTCAGTGGAATGTTGCCACTATTCCAACCCCCTGGCCCCCACACCTCAACCTACAGTCTCCCACCTCCCCTCTGCTCTCTCACCAGGCAGTCTGAGTCCCCTGCCTGCAGAGGATCTTGCGGAAGGCCTTGCGGAAGTCCTGGTTGAAGATGGTGTAGATCACAGGGTTCAAGGAGCTGTTGCAGTAGCCAATCCAGAAGAAGAACTGGAACACGCTGTTGGGGACCTTGCAGAGTTCTGGGCAGATGGCCCCCAGGCTATAGAGAAAGAAGAAAGGGAACCAGCAGAGGACAAAGACCCCGATTACCACGGCGAGGACGAAGGTGAACCTCTTCTCCCGGTTGAGGTGGGTCTTCCTCTTCCAAGGGTTGGCACTTAGGGTCTTCACCCTCCTCACCAGCACCACCTCCCCCTTGGCAGTGGCCAGGGTCTCCATGCCCTTGGCAGAGCTCTGGGGGTGCCCGTTGCGCTGCTTGAGGCTGCAGTGCAGGGAGTGCTCCACCGGGCTGGAACCAGAAGACTCTTTCTTCTCCGGTTGCGGCGGGCAAGGGCCAGTGGCAGGTGGCGGCGGCTGCTCCTCCAGGCTCAGGAGAGATGTCCTGTGGGCAGGGAGCGTAGGGGTCACTGGCTGATCACTATCCTCAATGGGCTCCTGATGCCCATTGGGTTCCCTTGCGCCCAGCTGCTGGGGAGAGGTCTCAGAGGTCGGGCTGGTGATTTTCCTAGATGTCCCCTTCTCCTTGGCCTTGGGCTTCTTGCCCCTGGAGCCTTGCTGGGTCCGGTGCTTGGCTATAAGGTAAATCCGCAGGTAGACCAGGATCATGATGACGCAGGGGGCGAAGAAGGAGCCAATGCTGGAGGAGAGGATGTACCATGCCTCCTCGTTGAGTTTGCACTGCGGCCTGCCGGCCTGGCTGTCCTTCTTGTTCCCCTTGTAGATGAGGGGGGGCAGGGAGATGAAGGCTGCGATCATCCACACGATGAGGATGATGCACTTGATCCTCCTGGGGGTCCTCTTGGAGTTGTATTCGATGGCCTGGCTGACAGACCAGTACCGGTCCAGGCTGATGGCGCAGAGGTGCACGATGGAGGAGGTGCAGAAGAGAACGTCCAAGGCCAGGTAGATCTCGCACCAGGTCTTCCGGAAGTGCCAGTAGCCCATCAGCTCGTTGGCCAGGGAAAAGGGGATGATGAGGGTGGCCACCAGGATGTCGGCCGCCGCCAGGGACACCAGGAAGAGGTTCTGGGGGGCTCGGAGGGACCGGCTGGTGAGCACAGCGATGATCACCAGCACGTTGCCGAAGATGGTGAAGAGGATGAGGAAGGTGATGATGGCGGCGATGGCCGCGGTGGCTTGGACCGAGTAACCCTCGGGGCTGTCCATGGCTTGGGCGCCCCCCCCCATGAGGCTGCCGGAGGGGGCGGCGGGGGGGGGGGCTTCTAAAGAGCAGATCCAGGAGGGGTGGGGAGCGCCCCGCCTGCCCCGCGCTCGGGGCTCGCTGGCAGCCTCGGCTCCCGGCGCTCAGAAGCCCCCATCGGGGCCCGGGCGCCTCCGCGGGGGAGCCCCCAGGCTGCGCGCTCCCTGGCCGGCTGCGCTCCCCGGGGCGCAAGAAGTTTCCCCAACAAGTCTCGCCCGGAGCCCGCCGGCCCCTGCGCCTGCCGGGGCTGCGGGACGAGCCGGCAGCCGCCTGCGCCGCTTTTGAAGGCAGCCGCGGCAGGGGCTGGGTGGTCGCGCCCCCATCCCCGGCGTGTGATGTCAGGCAGCTCCGCGCCATCCCCTTGGCCGGCCCCGGGAGCGGGGCGGGGAGGGAGGAGACAAGGGCTGGGGCGGGCAGGGAGGGAGGCAAGCAGCCGCCGCTTTGCAAAGCAGCCGGGTCCACCCGCCCGGTTGCAAGTCGCTGCCCCGGCCGCCGCCAGCCCCCGGCGGCCGGGAGGCGCCACAAGGGGCTCCGCGGGGATCCTCCCGTTTCCAGGCACGGCCCGGCCCAAGTCCCCCTTTAGCCCCCCGCTGGGGCTCAGGCTCAGAGACCGGGAGGGGGGAGGGGTCGGGGCAGGGAAAGAGGGGCCCCGCTGCAAAGTTTGAGGACGAGCCGGCCAAGCGTTTTTGAGCCATAGGAGGGTTAAAGCCCCCACCCCGGGTGGCCCCCGGGGAACTTTCCTCTGCCTCAGTTTCCCCCACCCCTGGCCCTTGAAACTCAATCGCCTTGGAAAGGCAGGTGCCAGGATAGTAAAGGCTGCAAGGAAGCAAAGTGCCGTAGCCAGTGTGCACCGTGGCCGGGAGAGGTTTGCCACTGAGCTCTGTGGGACCAAGACTGGGGACTAGGCAGGGAGTGCATGATCCCGGGGTGTTCTGTTGGCGGACTGCACTTTTGAAAGAACAGAGCCGTCACTGGGTCTTCCTTTAGCCCCAGAGGGAGAGTCCGGTGTTTTAAAGGATCCTGGTACCAGTGCTGGCTCTGCAGATGTTCGCTGTTTTACTGTGGGGTCAGTATGTCCCTAGTTAAGGTTGCAAACATGGCCTGTTAGGAGGCTGATTCAAACCCCCCTGCCCTTGTAGCTCAAGAACAAAAAAAACAAACTCTTGATGCTTTCACGTTTAAAATTAAGGGCCAGAGTCTCCGAGGCCCCTGCTCCACTGAGTGGCAAGAGAAAAGAGAAAGCAGCTGTAGCTCCTCAGCTGTGGATTCCCTCCCAAGCTGGCAAAGAGACAACAGAGACACCTCCAAAGCTACCCCTTCCCCAGGCAGCCCCGAGCATAGGGACCCATGAGGGGCACGCTGCACTCTAGCCATCTCCAGCCGGCGTAAATAGAGCAGCTCTTTGGTTACCCTAAATGATGCCAGCGCCAGGGCTGGGTTAGAACCAGCTCTGCTTTGCCTGCACTTGGCAGCTACCCCCAGACCCCAGCCCCAGTTCTCACGGTGAATGGAAACATTTTCCGGACGCCGTGACTGAATTCCGTACTTTTTGAGAGTAAACATCTTTACGATGGCTCCTTCTCAAAACGCTAGCCAAGCATCCCATATTTCCTGCAGCCCCTCCCTTTGCCAACGAAATCACATTACCCCACCCCATCGGAAGTCCCCACGTCACTTTTTGACATTGGTGCCCGCAAGAGGCATTGCTTAAGGGCAGGAATAAGACAGCGTTATGGAAACTGCCTTGATTGGAGAGCCAAACACGATTATCTCTCAAAAAGAAAAGGAGGACTTGTGGCACCTTAGAGACTAACCAATTTATTTGAGCATAAGCAGCTCACGAAAGCTTATGCTCAAATAAATTGGTTAGTCTCTAAGGTGCCACAAGTACTCCTTTTCTTTTTGCGAATACAGACTAACACGGCTGTTACTCTGAAACCTGATTATCTCTCAGTGATGCTGATGGAGAGTGAAAGCCCAGTGGCAGGGATTATTTCAAACTCCAGGATCTGGCAAAATGTCCCCTCTCCCTCCTATCTAACACAACCCCTCCCCACCCCCCATCCTAGTATCCGAGCACCTCCAAATTAGTGGATAAATGTCTTTATCCTCACACATCCCTGTGGGGCAGGGCAGTGCTCTGATCCCCATGTACAGTCAGGGAACTGAGACCCAGAGTGGCTAAGGGACATGCCCAGAGATGCTTGCTGCAGAGCTGAGAATTGAATGCAAGCCTCCCATGGTATAGGCTGGTGCCTTAAGCCTGGACCATTCATCCTCTCCTGTGAGATTAACTGTTTTAAGGGCATCCTCATTTGTGCACAATGAGCCAGCTCCTCTGCTGGTGTACGTGGGTGTAGCTCCAGTGAAGTACGGGGCACATGGGTAATTCACCACTTGAACAATTTACCCAGGGTCATGGTGGATTCTCCATCACTGGCAGCATTTCAATCAAGATCTGCTCTAGTTCAAACAGGAATTAATTTAGGGAAGTCTCCTGGCCTGTGCTATGCAGGAGGTCAGACTAGATGGTCAGAATGGTCTGTTCTGGCCTTGGAACCTACGAAGCTGGGGGTGGGGGGGTGTCATGGTATATTTCAGAGGAAATCCCATATTAAAGTACTGACTCCACATCACCACTACCTCTTAATGCAAGAGCCCACTATGGCCTTTCAAAGCCCGGAACAATTAGATACTGATTTGCTTCCCGGACAAGGTGAAATTCTCCCTTGGGCAGTGGGACGAGCACATGGCCCATGCGTGGCTTAGGTCTGTTAAACGGTACTTAAGTGGTTCATGGCCTTGTGCTGGGTCTCTGCCCTGGGACGTTACAGAGACAGTACCATAGAATCATAGAATCTCAGGGTTGGAAGGGACCTCAGGAGGTCATCTAGTCCAACCCCCTGCTCAAAGCAGGACCAATCCCCAACTAAATCATCCCAGCCAGGGCTTTGTCAAGCCTGACCTTAAAAACTTCTAAGGAAGGAGATTCCACCACCTCCCTAGGTAATCCATTCCAGTGCTTCACCACCCTCCTAGTGAAATAGTGTTTCCTAATATCCAACCTAGACCTACCCCACTGCAACTTGAGACCATTGCTCCTCGTTCTGTAGCAGGAATTGAACTGAACCCATAAAGATCTTTTCAGTGTTTTATTCCCATTTTTCCCTGAGAGAATTCACTCCGATTTTAAAAGCCGTTGTGACCCTCCAGTCTGACCCCTGCGATAACGGAGGTTTTGTAGGACATCACGAATCCAGGGTCGCCCCCTACATCTCTTTCCCCGCTGCCATATGGCACTGGACAGCTCTTAGACCAGCTGTTTGCTCTGGACACCTTTCCACTCTCAGACTGGGCTTTGCCTGCCACCCTGACACAGTCCATTCATCACAGGCTTCCAGCAGTTTAGTCAGAGGTTAATTTCCCTCCCCCACTTCTTTCCTATGGCCCTTTCCAGCTCAGCTTGGAGCAGCTTTCCTGAAAGCCTCACCCAGCGCCTTTCATTGCAATGCCTCTGGACACAGAACGTGAAAGGACCACACTGTGTGAGCCAGAGCTGTGGGAAGAGCTGGGGTGGGAGCGCCCTCTGCTGCACCAGGAATTGCTTAGAGCTCTCCAGGAATGGATCCTTTTCCAGGCCCTTGGTGCAGCCACTGGAAGAGAGCTGGAGCACTTTCTTGCAGCCCCCGGGCTGCAGTGACACCAGGGCTGGGAGCAGGGCAGGATGCTATTCACTGCAGGGGAAAGTCCCTGTGTGACCATTCTAATGCACCTGCTTAAATGTTTTCGTTCTCCATGCCCCCGAAAAGTGGAGTCTAGAGAACACAAGGCACAAACCACTCCAGCAAACCAAGAACTTCATACCCAGGAGCTGCTCCCAAAGCAGGTAGGGATACTTCCTTATCCCGCTGCCTTCCACGGGCAGCTCCTTCCCTGCTGCCAGCACCTCCCCTTCCCGATCGTGAGCAGGGCTCTGTCCCCAGTAATCTGATCAACGTAGCCCTGGTCAATACTCTCATCTGAGCCACTCCATCAGTGGTAGCCTGTATCCTGCCCTCCTCCCCTTTGGCTCAGCAGAGCTGCGTTAGCACCCTGGCTCGATCCCCGAGGGCATAGCTTTTCAAACTGTGGGGCGCCGCGAGAGGTTATCAGGGGGCGCACAAGGACCTGATGTGAAGTAGGACAGTCCCCCGTCCTTTCTACTTGCCGAGGAGCAGGAGGCAGCCGGCACACGAGGGGAGGGGTTGGAGAGCGAGCCCACCTCTGTAGTACCAGTTGCTACCCTGCACGTGCCCCCGATGCTGGGCCCGTGGTAACAGGCAGCAGTGGGGTCAGACGGCTGAAACATGGAGGAATCAGCTGAAGCCAACAGGTGGACTCAGCAGGCGCAGCCTGGTAGGGATCGTGGCCTGAGGGAGCAGCAGGCTAGGGGAGAAAGCAAGGGGACTGGGCAGAGCCATGTAGGGGTCTTGGGGGCAGGGCTTGGCTGTGAAGGAGAGGGGAGAAAGAGGTGGGCGTGCATGGGACATGGAACTACAAAGGGGGCTGCACAGTGAAAAACTCTGGGAATCTCTGACTAGCGGGAACCCTGCGTGGCTTGTGCCACCTACCCCAGATCTATCCCAGGTGCTGATGTGGCTGGGTGGGTGACAAGGGGTATGATGACTGGTTCCTGGGGTGGGGGAGGGAAGCTACCCATGTTACTGAACACCATGCAGGCCCCTGCAACCCTATCTCCATCACTCATCCCCTCCCCCTACTTCATACCAGGCAACCTTGTGCAGTCCCTGTTGGCTCCAGGGAAAGGATGGAGAAGGACCAGCCTCCAACAAGACTTTAAGGCTCCTGGCCAGTCTCCTCTCTACACCAGGGCTCATCCTACTTTCTCCTGCCGTGGACAGCCTGAGATGCTCCATGGCTCCTCCCCTAGAAGAGCAGGTGTGTCCCAGGACCTGCCCAAGCAGCTCCGATTCTGGTTTCCCCACCAGAGGAGCCCTGTGCCCTGCCCTTCTCTAGCCACTAAGGAGGATGGGGTGGGTGCTTGGAGGATGGGCCAGGCTGATCTGGACTGCTCTTCTGTAACAGGGAGGAAGTAGGCCCCCTGACCAACCTGGCATCATTCACAGAATCGTTATTCCTAAATCATCACCCCTGCCAACAGCTCATCTGGAGCCCTCGCGCCGACCCTGCTCTGCCAGTCCAGCTTATCTGCTCCGACAGGCAGCCATGTCTCCTTTGCCTCACCTCATGTGCCTGGAATAGGGTTTCTGTCCCAAACCCCCCGG